TGAAAACTGGATATTCCAGAAACTGGGATTCCAAAAATATCCAGATGGGCAATTGCTTTGAACCCCACATAGAGAAAAAGTAGACCCTATTTTAGTTCTTATGGACCATGGTGGTCCATGGACCACAGGTTGGGAATCACTGTTCTAAATGTATTTCCAAAAACTGGATATGCCAGAAACTGGAATTCCAAAAATATCCAGATGGCCAACTGCTTTGAGCCCCACATGAAGAAAAGGTAGACCTTATTTTAGTTCTTAAGGACTACTGGTGGTCCATGGACCACGGGTTGGGAACCATTGTTCTAAATGTATTTCTGAAAACTGGATATGCCAGAAACTGGAATTCCAAATTTAGAACCACTGTTCTAAATGTATTCCTGAAAACTAGATATGCTAGAAACTGGGATTCCAAAAATATCCAGATGGCTAATTGCTTTGAGCCTCACATGGCGAAAAATTCCTCACATGGAGACCATATTTTAGTTCTTACGGATCACTGGTGGTCCATAGATGACAGGTTGGGAACCTAACTATGGTTTGAAGGCCACCAAAAGAGATGATCTGACCACCATCTGAGGCACCACAGTTTGGGAACCACTGTTCTAAATGTATTCCTGAAAACTGGATGTGCCATAAACTGGAATTCCAAAAATATCCAGAATGCCAATTGCTTTGAGCCCCACATGGGGAAAAAGTGGGGTAAAAAGTGGAAAACAAACATAATATGCATGAAGAAAGCTTTCCAAGAGACCCAAGCCATCTCTCCAAACACCTCTCCAATTACCTAAAGTGCATCATAGAGATATCTTCATAATACGAGTCGTGGAGAAGAGCTGCCATGAAGCCTGTCAAAGATGACGACAGCGAGGAGAGGGGAGAAATAAAATAGAATAAAAACACGCTAGTCATTAAAAGAAAATCCTTCTCGATTAGCCGGGAACGCCATCGCCACTCGGTTATTTCATCTCTTCTGAAAAGCAGCCGCTCTCTCCAAAATGAGTGAACAATTCCATTGCGTTTCCTATCTGTTAATGCATTATGTATTTTCCATCAACATCCCCTTCCTTCACTCCACAGAATTGACTTTGTATTTTATTTAATTTTCTTTAATATGAGGGAGACTTGGTAACGAACAATAGCCGATGTATTACATTATTCTCCAACCAATTTCCCAAAGAAGAAAGAGGCGCTGTTACGCTGTAATTGCGGTTGGTCAACGCAACGCAATCCCGCGTTTGTGTGTGTTTTAACACATCGTAAAACAGCGTGATAAGGCAACTCTAATTTTATTTTTTTTTTTTTTTGTAATTTTACTCCTTTCCTATACAAAAAGGGAGGGAGGGGAAAAAATGTGTGAAAAAGTAATTTTGCATAATCAGTTCATGCCATCTGGAACAATTAAACGGTTTCTATAGAACGACGAGAATCAGTCATATCTCCTTATTAAAGATCAGAAATTATACAAGTAATAAATCCTCGAAAAAACTAAGCATGCTCTTGCCTGTCAATGCTATTTTAACTTCAGAGACTGAAGAATGCTTGATAAGGCTGAAAAGAAGAGATTAATATATGCAAATTACATTGAGCATTTAAAAACCCGCTGCAACTGTCTTCCTTTCCGCCGTCCCTTATTGCCGCGTTTATGTTTTATTCATCCATTCAACCCAACTCACCTGTCACTTCATAAGCTATAATATTATGGGGGTATTATTAACCAGCATAAAGCCCTCTCTTTAATTGGAAAGCTTCATTGCATTTTCCAATTATTTGGACTAAATTAAAAGCAGATGTACATAGTTTAATAAGGAGTCTAATATCAGTTCCGGGAAATCAAAATTCATTTTCGTGGCAGCGTCGAAATACTTTTTTTTTTTTTTTTTGCAAACTGTACTCTCCCTCTTCATCTTTTTTTTGTATGGGTATTCTCTTTTCTTCCAAAGGAAATCTGTCTCTGCAATCTGTTAATTGTCATCCCGTTAATAACTGTTTAAATATCCAAATGGCACAGCAACGTTCTGTTCGGGGGAAAAAAATTAAAATGGCAAGGAAAAACAAATAAGAGTGTAGATTCCTGATAAGACGGAAGATTTCTCCTGCAACATGATGTACGCCGGTATTCACAATTAATCACACCATGAATGGGTTTTGGATGAAAGGAGTACGGATATATAACTCATTGTTGGTCAAGAATTCGTTATCTGGAAGACAAAATTGGCCATTCCCTGTGCTCATCTGCTCGGCTCATAAACTCAATTAATAATCATAATAATAATATTGCTAAGCCTCTCTTTTCTAACATTCTGATTATAGATTTTTAGAGCTGCAAGGGGTCCTAAAGGTCATCCATTCCATCAGGAAGACACATCAGCACCACTCCTCAAAGATGC